TCGGCTGTCCAGGAACCTCGGCTGCTGGCTGCCCGGGAATTTCAGCTGTTGCTTGTCCGGGAATCTCGGCTGCTGGCTGCCCGGGAATTTCGGCCGTCGGCTGTCCAGGAACCTCGGCTGCTGGTTGTCCGGGAATCTCGGCTGTCGGCTGTCCGGAAATCTCGGCTGCGGGCAGCCCGGTTTGCCCGGCTGCTGAAGTGGTTGGCTTTTCCGAAGTGTCTTGAGCAGCTGCAGCGCCTAACAATTGCTCTGTCCCTGCTGGGCACTGCGCCATTGTTTCCTGGAACGCATAAACGAAAATAACTTTTACGACAACTTTTTCATCCGAAGAAGAAGAGTAAGCCCCACCCGTGGAACGCAGTACTTTGCTTCAGCATCGTAAACAAACTCATCGGGACACTGCAGCAAGGCAGCGCTGCCCTTTATACAGACGAAGAATTCTGTGTCGCACATGTCGCCATAAATCCCATCGGGCAATCCGGTGCACGAGAAAACTGAAATTTACAGTACTGGTGAAGTCACCTTGGCTTTCAAATTACTGATGGAGAGATGTGTAAATCATACTCATTAGTTTGGACGGCTCTGCCGCCGGCCTCGTTTTTTCAGTTCCCGAAATCTCATTGGGCGCTTCACCGCCAGAGACTGCTTCCGTTTTCTTGGGATGCGAAAATGCGCTTGCTGCTTGCATCAAAATTGGCCCTTCATCCTTTGCCGCGTCTGTTTCTGAGCAAGACGAAACTTCCAGCTGAAAACGCAACTCCGTCTGAAATTCACTGCTGCTGGGGCGACCGTATGCGCAGCGATAAAAAACTAACTTCCGGCATGCACGAAGCAGTGCTTATGTCAAATTTCGTTGCTGGACAGACGAGCAGTTTGATCGAGGATCCGGTAATGCACACGAATGACTGATTGGAGCATCCGGCACCATAAATGCCATCCTGGAGACCGTCACAGGAGTGATCTGGAAAGCTGGCTTTCAAACTGGCCGTACAAACCACCGCTCACAGCTCTACAAAAACAAAACAGCAACCGGAATCTGCTGCGAGGCCTGTGTCATTGATCGCCGACCCGAATGCTACACCTTCATCGGACGGTGTCGCTTCCTGAACAGTCTGGAGAGAGCCCGGAGCTGCTACCTCAGACTTCCCCGGGCGAACGCCGCTGACCACATACTCGCCGCCACATTTAGGCATTACATTCTGCAAGCACACAATTTTACATAAAACAAATAAAAGCCATGCATTTGCATTTTGTAACAATCAAAACGGACCCTTTCCATGCACATCCTGGAAGCCGTATCAAACAGAAATTTGTCCGGACAACGCAGCAAAATTGAGCGTCCACTGAAGCAAGCAACAATTTCGACAGCACACTGCTCGCCGTACAGCCCGTCCTTCTTGCCCATACACGAAAAAGCTGCAATAAGCAACTCTTAGCACTGACGCAGGCTCCAGCATGAAAGCACTGGACTCGCGAGCTGGTTTTAACTCTCAAATTACAGTCGTACCAATCATTTTATGGGTGCTTTCCACTCCAACAACTGTTGGCGTCGCCGAAAGAGCTGACTGTCCTGAAGCACCGAATGCAACCGGCTTCTTCGGCCTCCGCGCCCCAAAACCAACTGCTCCCACCGGCATCGTCGTCGACTCCACTGGTTCAGCAGAGCCAGGAAGTGTCGCTTCCGACGTTAGCTCGGTTCCAGCTGTCGTTCCTGCCTCGGCCTCCCCAGTCGTTGATCCACCATCACCGGCACATTC